TTTGCTAGGCAAATATACTACAAGTTATCACATCTTATGTGCTTTGTTGAAATGCCAGACTGCAAAAAAAAAAAACAAAAAACAAACAAAAAAAAAAAAAACACTCCAAAGAAAAAAGAAAAATCAGCTCCAGGAAACAGACTGCAATCCACTGACCTCATATCAAATATTAAACACCTGATAAATAATAAGACACTTCAGCCTTTTCTGACCTACACTGCCTTTGAACAAACACGAGGTTCCTTTTCCTTTTGCCAAATCTCACCCTCTTCCAGAAAACCTGCCTCTTATTTTGTAAAGTCTCCTCAAATTGCAATATCTGACTCTAGCCACTATGCAAATAGGTGCAGTTTTGTCGTTCATTAATCACCCTTCCATGTTTTACATAAGCTAAAAAGGAATAAGCATATCTTGAAATGAATGCTGTTCCTCATTTGCATTGCTCTACCTTTATGGTTCTGGTTTCTTTAGTCACACTGCACCAGATCTCAACATCTTTACAATGCATACTAGCTTAATCTACCTGTAGTCCCATTGATCTCCATGCTATTCACTAGAAAGGTATCAGAAGCTGACTCTATTTGGTGTTGTTAAAAATTAGACCACAAAACAGGTTAGTCACCATAGCAACCATGTGTTATTCCCTTCCCATGATCATAACAGGTCTTACTGCTAAAGACACTAGAAGCATGAATCAGAACAGGGACTGGCACAAAATCCCATTTTCTGTATCTCAGACTGATCCGGGCAGTTTCCTCTCCAACCTGAACAAGATCAAGAAATTCACAGCAACTGTAACCTCTCTTGCAAGGCCAGAAGAGAAGAGGCGAAGATGCCTAGTGTAAGATCAGAGAACTTGCTAATCCTCCCCAACAAACTGTACATACTAATGTTTACAAAGGTACTGTAGCAAAACTCCCAGGTTTTCTTTTTTTTTTTCTTTTAAAATGCATTCCCTCCCCTTTCCCAACCATTTCTGACTTTTTCTTTCCCTCTTTATTCCCTATAGATAAGTATAAGTGAGCTAAGACATATGATAAGCTTCAGCATTTTATTTTGGTAGTAAGTTGTATTTGTTTTGTTTTTTCTCCTTCTTTATATTGTATAATTATTATGTTTATATTGATTTGTACTGTTCTATATTACTGTTTTATTTGTACTATGTGATTTAGGCCTACATATGTAAGTTAGCATAAGTCATGTCAAGTTTCCAATTGGTTTGTCAAGTCTCCATCCAGGCCCGGTTGTGTAACCTGTGACTCACACCTCCCCCTCCTATGTAACCTGGTTCCTGAATGAATGGGGAAGAATGAGGGTGCTTGAGAGACAATGGCAGTAGGTCTAAACATAGCTCTCTCTGAATGACCGAACCATCAACACCAATACCTGGACCAATGACCCAGCCCTTGGAACCACGCTCCTCATTCAAGAAACAAAAGATGAGGCAGCCCACCATTGTGCCAAGGCTGCACATGCTCAGTAAGAACATCTGGAGCCCTCTGGGACAGGACTGACCCTGCCTGGACAGGCCCTCCCCATAGGACATCAAAGGTAGTCTTCCCCATAAAAGGGGTAGTGAAGACAGACCCAGTGGGGACGCCCTCTCCATCTGGACCAGCACCATGCCACACCACCTATCCACCCAGAGGCCCTGCCGGTGACCCCACTCTGGAAAACACCTACTGGACAAGAACCCCTTTCCAGCCTGGATAGGTAGCTATCACCCCCACCCCCTCTTTAACCAAGGACTTGGACTCTGCTTCTCTTCCCCACCTGGACTCCAGCCCTTCCACTGAGTCTCTTTCTCCTGCTGCCATTGCGAGCACGTGTGTGTGTGTGTGCGTGTGTGTGCATGTGTGAACCAATAACTTCATGGGGCTGTGTGGCGTTGTCTGTTTAATAAAACTGTTATTTGGACCCCTGAGTTGGATTTTGCTTTACTATGGTTCAGCCCTGCTTCAATCTCTGCTCCTCGCCCCTCTAACTTCTCTCTCATTTCTCCCTCTCCTGCTTCTGGCTCACCGCCACCTCCAACACCTGTCCCGAGCTCCTCTCTGCCTCCAACCCCCTGTTTCTTTGCCACTGTCTGCTCCCCACTGCCTTTTCCTTTTCCCCTGAGCAACCAGGTTTCTGCCTCAGTTTCTTTCCTGGCTGTCTCCTCCTTGCCACCAGGCTTTTTTTTTTAACTTTTCTTTTCCCTCCCATATACCAGCGACCTTGAGTAAACCCAGGGCCACTTGATCTTAAGTAAACCCAAGCCTCAGTTCCTCAGTCAGCTTCTCTGTAGTCCACTAGTTCTAATCCCAGTTCTGGCAGCTTTCACTCCCTACACTTCAACTCTCTCTCTCTCTCACCTTAACCTTCCCCCAAGTATCCCAGGTACCCCAAGCACACCCATATATACTATGCCATCCAAGTTAGGAACTTACCTATGTGCAGGTGGGTTGTATGTGTGTGAACTGGTAAATGTGTGTGTTTGTGTATGCGTGTGCATGATATACGAATTAGTGATCTGTGTATGTGTACTGAGTGTGCAGGTATTGACAATTGATTTTTGTCTAATTTTTAGTGTGTAGTGTGTATGTGCTTGAATTGGTGATAGGTATGCATGTGCCTAGACTGGTTTGAATGTGTATGTGCCTGAGTTGGTAGTGGCAGGCAAGGTTCCTTGGGTGAATTTGATATCTTTTATTAGACCAACCCAAATAGTTGGGGAATAGTTATTAAGCAAGTTTTCGGGTTCAAAAACCCTTAGTCAGGCTAAGGAAGTTTCAGCAGTTGGTATGTGCTCTTCCTGGATGGAATGAAAAGTCATGAGTTGGTAGTGTGTGTGTGCATGCACCTAATTGATTTGTGTGTTTGTATATGTGCAATTGTGTCACACCCTCCTGTCTAACAGCTCAATATTGAGATCCTGAGAGTTGGCCTGACCCACAGGGCAACAGTACAAAATGTGTAGTTGCATGAAGAAACTCACTGCATCACAATGCTGGCTGCAGTCGGTCACCCTTAAAGTTCCTCAGGTGTTTCTGGACCTTTGATAGCATGGCCCAAAAGATGAAAGGTGTTTAGTTTCTTTTCTACTTTGGAGAACACACAACACCAGCAGAGTCTCCCTATTTCTGACAAAGGGTGTTTATGCCCAAAAGCTTGCAAAGAACTTTTCCCCCATTATTCAGTTGGTCTAATAAAATATATCACATCTACCCCAAGAAACTTGCCTGCCCTAGACACTTTAATACCTTTGATCTGTGCCCAGATTCTCAAAGGAGCAAGAAATTTGCTGACTGGAGCGGTCTTCACTTGACAAGTTGTGGATGCTAATCTAGGGTTGACAAATACACAACCATGCCATCAGTAGTAAGAATGGTTTCTTCGGCAGTGCTCAGTTGGTTATGGAGCCCCATAAATCAGTACCTTCCTTAGTGGACTATGTTGGGTGTGGATGGAAAGGAAAGATTCCTTCATGATGCCTCTTGCAGAGTACATAAAGGGATGAAAGGCAGACAAGGCTCTTTGGGTAGATGTGATATCTTTTATTAGACCAACTAAATAGTTGCAAAAATTGTTCTCTACAAGCTTTCAGATGCAAGCATCCAAAAGCTTGCAAAGAACAATTTTTCCAGCTACTGAGTTGGTCTAATAAGGTTCTTTGAGTGGATGTGGTATCTTTTGTCTGCCTATGTCCTTAGACCAACATGGCTACAACCAATAACCCTAAATGGGTGAAAGTCAGTCAAGTGATTGGAGCAGGCAGAAGGGTTTCATTCTCAATTTCTCCTGATTTGCTGGGCTTTTCTTTAACCCTGTTTTTTAACACAACCTCCCCCCAACTCACTTTCATCAATAGTGTGACTCATGTAATAAAATGCTACTCTGGGTAAGCAGGAGTGGAAAAGTCTGGCTCTGCATTAATTAACTGATGTTTGCAAACCGCTTTCCTCTTTAAAGCAAGAAAAGAATTGCTTTAAAATGGAGCACCAAGTTTTATCTAATACTTTTGAGAGGCTTATAAAGATTTTTGAAGAGTCAATAACACTTTTAAGTGTCCTTAACTATTCTGTTCAAACGTTAACACTTGCATTTTCTTTGGGCACTTCATCTTGGGAAAGCACCATTTAAGTCTTTCCCCACTTAAAAATGCCTTGCTGAGGTACTGTGAGCACAAGCCCACTTCCAGCTACTCTGTACTATACACCCAGATAATAAAAAAATGAGTGTTGTGAGCTATCGTGTCCATGACCACACGCGTTACTATGTTCTAGTTATTTCTGCATTGTTCAGTTGAGGCTTCCTTACAAAGAACCTTTTCTTCCCATACTCACAGCTACACAATTGAAGCAAAATGAAGAATAAATCTGGAGCAAATAGAGTAATTAGACAATATTAAGCTTTTTTCAAAGCAGCTCACATCTTAATACAAGAGAAATAATGCAGCCCTCCCTTTTAATGGGAGTCAGGTCTTTCCAGAGCTGTGTAGGACTAAAAGCCAGTAAGAGAAAAAAGGAAGTGTTTAAAAAGATGAAAGGACAAAGATCTGGCAGTGGGGAGCATATATGCGTGTGTCAGTGTATGTCTGCATCTGCGTATTAGGATTCAGATTTAAATGGCTTGGTCTATCTAGTGACCTACTTTAAAACAGACTCTTGATGTGATGCTACTTAAAGTCTCGGTGGCAAAAAAAAAAAAATCACGACTTTGAGCAGCATTTCTTGCTCCTTCACTTTGCAAAAACAGTTCCTGTTTGCAACATTGGGACTTCTTTAACATGGGTTGGAGCCAGCCTGCTCCAAAGTAGGATCTCTCATCTTTGCAAGATAAAGTCTCCTTTGTTCTGAAGGCTCTACCACCAGTTGGATGCTGTCCTGTCCTTCCCTGACACAACTCTGACGTTGGCTTTGACATACTATGCTGCCCTACCAGAAAAACCAAACATGGAAAGTTGAAACTTGTCTCAAATTTGTAGGTATGACAACAATATAAAGCATAAAGTGCCTTACCTTTGTTCACTCTTCCAAGAGCAAGTTATTTGAGTGTCTGCAGCTGCACTACTGCAAAGAAAAACACGGGTCAGGTTAATAATAAAGACAGGCAAAAGCCACAAACTCCAAAGATTCAGGTTAAACATTTACCAAAATTTGCTTCTATAATCAAACCCCCAGGTTCTGCTTAGCTAGCTGTTGGCATCTTGAGAAACAGGTAACAACCAATCAGCAACTTGTCCACTTACTTCCCGGTCTGAAACTCAGACGCTTGCTGAAGTCACTCAGGCACATCCAGGCTAGGATTTCAACAGCACAAAGCAGAAAAATATTCTGTGTAGAAAACACCCTCCCGAATACAAGTGAGACTTCAAATATTTACATGCAGGGGGCAGTTCAAAGTTACTTGCTGAAACAAGGCCATAGGACGATAGCACTTTACTTTTCTTTTTTTGCTGTCTATTTTTGTGCCCAGGGAGTCTTTTGGTTCCCAGTGCTAGTCCTAAAGCAAGTTGGAAATGTCCAGAGGGCAGCCCCAATGTTTGTCCTCGCCTATCAGATGGGCTAAATTACCCAGTATATGGTAATCAAAACTAAGTTGGTAGGTGCAAAATGATTGCAGAGAAGAGCAGAACCGCTTCTGGACCTCTCGTAGACCATTAGCAGTGCTTGTTGGGCATTTGTCTGCACTGTCCTCACCCTCCAGGAGTAGTTAATGAAGCCGTGCACCTCCTCCTCCGTTCCAACCATGTCTTCCTGTTTCTCGAATTGGTTCAACAACTTTGACTTTTCCCTATCTCTATATCTGAGCCCAGCCTCAGTGGCATTTTCACCTATCCCTTTTCCTTCATCTCTTTCTACGCCCTCCACCAGCCTGCGACCCATTCATGGGATAGTTCTTCACTCCCCCTTGCCTCATCATCCTGTCTGGGTACTTTAGCTTCTCAATTAAAGCCTCTTTCCAAAGAAGACTCACCTGTGGGCATCGAGGTGCCTGCAAATCAGGTGGCAGACTCAGAAATAGATGCTTAGTTTTCAGCATCTGAATTTGAAAACACTGGTCCCATACCCATAACAACCCGTGCTCTCCCAGGGCATGTCCAAATGAGCGTGCACATAAGTTTCCCTGGGGACAAATACCAGAGGCACATATTTGTGCCATTGCTACTTGTCCCTGGGGAATGCCTCTGCACGTGCACTCTGGCACGCTGCAAATTGCACCAGGTGGTGTAAGGTTGGCTGGGGCCAGCACCTGGGCTGGCCCTGGCAGCCTTACCTGAGGTCCTGGGAGCCGCCCATGACTGCAGTAGCAGCAATCTGGGTGTGCAGAGCCTGGCTGGCAGCAGGAGTGTGGCTCTGGCCAGCCAGACTCCAGTTTTGGGCAGCACATACTGCAGCCATATGCACCCCGCTGGGGGTTTTTTAGACTTTTTTGATACTAGGATTTCCTAGTATCTAATTTTGGCTTTGCAGTTATACAGCGAGGAGAGCCTTTTTATGTGCACTGAGTGCATTTTGTGGTGCTTCACATGCCTTTTGAGGCACCACAAAGCACGTGTGCATGCTCCTCTGGACGTGCCCCCAGTGTCCTCAGGAGGGATCAGAAACACCAGCAGATACTGAAGTGGAAAGCGCTCTAGGAACAGTACCAAGCAACAATAAGAGTTTCAGCATAGTTACAGTCATTATGCCCCTCCACTCGTGCTCTCAGGGCCAGATTTCCAAAGGTAATCATGTGAGTGCCTAAAGATGCAGATAAATTCCTAGTTCCTATGCCAGTTAGGCACATAACCTCCATTTAAAATGCGAGATTATTGTCACTGAGAACTGTAGCTGCAATGATTTTGGAGCACCCTGAAAAGCTTGGAGAAGTTAAAAAATGCTGTCTCTCTCCTTGCTTCCCTGCAGAGGAGTATCACATGAACCAGGACTTGTCTAAGGCCTAACGTACATGTAGTAGCTGTGGCCTGGGCTGTGATTTCTCAACAACAGGTTTTCTCCAATAAAAAACAAAAAAAATTCCTAGTTTTCAGATTTAAAAAAGTAATCCCAAATCCATGTTTTTCTGTGATTAAATGAAATGCCACTAATATATTTATGACCTTAACCCTAATATATATACATCACTCTAGATAGATAGATAGATAGATATGAATCACTATATAGGTATATATGCATCACTCTATATATATAAATGCATCACTATATAGATATCTATCTATATAGATATCTATCTAAATATAAATGCATCACTATATAGATATAGATATCTCTATATAGATATCTATCTATATATAAATGCATCACTATATAGATATCTATATAGTGATGTTTCATATTTCATATTGATCATGGAAAAATTTGGATTTTGGGTTACTTTTTTTAATCTAAAAATTGGGGGATTTTTTTTTTTTTATCGGAGAAAACCAGGATCCCTGCCAATGTGTGTTCTGAATGCAACAAACCAAACTATCTTCTTTCTAATGAAGATCCTGCTCTTAAGTACTAGTCTCGGAGGCGAGGAGACTGATACAGGGCTCTCAACAGTATTGTTGTGCTCTTCCCAGTAATACTCTTCATCTCCCCTATGAACTTTGCAAGCCCTGTTTCCCCTTCGCCCATGTTGCCTGCTTAGTATGCTCTGAAGCAAGACCCGTCTCCGACTATGTATTTGTCTTGTACACGGCATGTATGTACTTGTGTACAGCACCTAACGCAATGTGACCCCAATCTCTGTTGGGGTCTAGGAGTGTTTCTGCAGTATGCATGAATCACAGTAACTGGATTTAGCTGCTTGACAAACAGTCAGTAGTTTGGAAAAAGCTATTCCAAGTCTTTCTATTCCATCATTTTCCCCAGACCACAACAGAACAGAACAAAACAACAGCCTCCAAATGCTGTTCCTTTTTGGCAGGAGAAATCCAATCCTACCTTGGTTAGCAGAACAAAGAAAGCAGGAAGCGCAGGAAGGAATTTTCATTCCTGCAACTATTTTATTTTATTTCCCCCCCGCCCCCGCTTCTGTATCAGGTAATTTTCAAAGCTCACTGTTCCTGGTTAGTCTGTGAATCTTCTTGTTTTGTCTACTCCCACCCAGTGTTATTTAACTTCCATTTTGCTGATGAAAAACTTGATTGTGCTTAGATGTTGCGACTGGGTAAATCGGAACCTGAGACCTTCACAATCCCAACAGGGAATCAAGCAAAAATGCCGCGCTCTCGCTAGCAGAAACCCAGCCGTAACTCTGCTGTAACAGAGACAAGGTGCATTTATACACTACATAAATGCTAAACAAATCATTTAATCATTTTCTATTGCAGCTGCCACTTTTTATCACTTCAAGCTAGTGCCTTGATTCAACTTTCCAACATATGGAGGAGATTTTTTTCCCATTAAACCATTTGATTTATGTGCATCTAAAATGTACAAGGCTCAAAAACAAACTAATGTGTGTTTAATATTTGGGGCTCTAAAGGAATGTGTTGGCCCTTATTTCGGGCCCTCATGGAATGCAAGATTCTGTCTCATGTGGGCAGGCTTTTGACATTAAAATAAGTAATAATTAAAATATGCATGACCTCCAAAGGTTTTAATTACCGCATGCTGCCGAGTGATTCTCCTTGGCAACATCACGCCTTTAGGAAAAATCAGCTTGCACCACTACAAAGGGGAGGATGACAACACACGCAAGATAAAAGGGAAAACAAGGCCATCTTTGGAGTAGGGAAAATTAAAATCCTCTTTGTCTGCAGATGATTCTCTCCATATCACAAGCTGGAGCGTCGGAAGCATGTGCAGAACATACTGCTTGGAACTGAATCGGATGCTTGTGCTCTTGTTTGTTTGCCTGGTCTCCTTGCACCCATCTCCAACCCCTCCTGGTCCTCCTGTCCATGCCTTACTCTTACAACCCACGATGCTTTTTTTTTCCTGCCTTCTCTCCCTCCTCTACCTCACATTCTTCATGTTATTACACGCTCTGCTTTGTCTTTCATGCCTTTAAGGAGCAGTACTTTCGAACTGAACACAGAAGACACCCGGCGTGTTACAGACAATACTCAACCAGGATGCCACGAGGTGCAACCATTTACACATGATTCACAAGATAAGCCCAGAGATTTCAAATGGGAGCTCTCAGCCTCAACACCGTTCTGACCAGTCTTTCTGAGTACTTTGCAACAGAAAAATTGCTCTAGCCTTTTGCCATTGTCAAAAAAAAATGGGCAAAAGCTAAAATCTGGCATTTTCCAAGGAGGGGGTTGATTTAAAACAAGGTTGCAAACCACTGCTCTAGACCTTAAGCCTGGTAACTGTGACCCTTAAAAAAGCCTAAATAAATAGATAAATACTATTAGAAAATAATCAAGTTCTTTCCACTTCTTTCTAAATTCTCATGTGCACAAATCCAGGTGTCAAGTCATACCCTGATTTCATGAATCCCAATCCCCCGTTGGTATAAATCCCATTGACTTCCAGGCACTGTGCCAGGCACTCTCATAAGTTGACAGTTTGGGCTATGATTTTATACCTACATAATTCATGCACTCTAATCAACCCCATCACTATGCCAGATGACCTATACTTTTTTGGACTTTTTGTACATACTACCATCTTACTGATTTGGATAGGATCACCCGTGGTAATAAGTACTACATGATAAGCACTACACCTGGCAATAAATGCTTGCAGGTCAAGCCGTTCAATTTTAGTCTAATGAAGAAAAGGTGTAGTACCATATTTGCCAGTTTAAGGATCAACGAACTATATATTGCTAATAAATAATTTTAAGGTGTTGGTCTTTAGATTTGTAATATTCATAGATGTTAGGGGGCTGGAAGGGACTTCATGAGATAACTCCAGCAAGGTGTTTTTTTAAAGATCTCCAGGGTAGGTGACTGTACCACCTCTGGGGAGAGTCTGTTCCAGACCCTAGGAACCTGAATAATGAAGAAATTCCTCCTTATGTCCACACTGAAGCAATCTTCAAGCAGTCTGTGTGCAGTGTTTCTTGTCTTTCCCTGGGGTACCCTGGTGAACAGATGCTACCCCAGGCCCTGATGTATGCCCTTGATATACTTATAGGCTGCTACCAAGTCACCTCTAAGTCGTTTTTTCTCCAGGCTAAACAGTCCCAAGTCTTTCAGCTTCTCCTTGTATGACCTGCTCTCCAGACCTCTAATCACGCACGCGGCCCATTTTTGGGCTACACGCATTACTCTTCTTGCCAAAGGAAGCAAGATCAGAATCCAGCATCTGCCATCCCTGTTTCTCTCTCATATTTTTTTTAAGCAATGACTCAATCACATTGCATGGCCTTCATGACATGCAGTAGGAACCAGGACCCCTTTGTGGGAAAACCAGAAATGAGAGAGTGGGATATCAACTATTTCTACAACTTGAGGTTATAAAAGTTTGGCAAGATTTTTTTTTATGGTTGTTGCTTTAGTTTATGACATGATAACCTACTTTTTTTTTTCCCATATCATAACTACCTAGACACAAAGGTAGAAACTAGGCCATCCTTGACTTCACTGGTCCCAAAACCAGGGCACTGCTCGGAGCTCCATTCACAAAACTGGCGTGACACTGCTCTGCGCTCTCGCTCCCTGTTATTTATAACTTTCCAGGGCCTGGGAACAAAGGGCTGGGCGACGGTGGTGCGACAAACGCATACCTGCTTTCCTTTCCTTCACAAAGGAACTCGTTTTGGGGATAACAGAAGAAAATAACGAGACAAAGAAAATAATGGATGGACAATACAAAGCCGATGAGGAAGCACAGTCAATACCTGGGGCCTGATTGTGCAGCTTAGTCACAGCCCAGAGCGGAGGAGGAGGCTGAGGTGATGCATTGCCCAAGGGAGAGCTCAGAAAGGAGATGATGTCTCGGGGATCAGGGTGCCCTGGCCGTGTGCCATCCATTCATGGTGTGCAGTGGGTGCAGTCCTCGAGCTTTCAGGTGGTGTGTGCCACAGAGAAGGACAGTGCTCCTAAA